GCATTTTTTAAATGGTTTTTTTGTTTTTTTACTGGAGACATTTTGCTTCGAGTTATTTCTTAATCAGGAAAGATCGGTGTTAAAAATTTCGGCATGAGGCGCAGCATTTGATGTCTTTAGATACGGGCGCACCATATGCCTGAAAAATCAATTGTGTAATACAGATGTTCGATCAACGTTTATCATGTGTTGGGTACCCCTGATTGTTACTATGACCAAATTTCCGAAATAAGCGTATACCACAGAAGGTCGTAGAACTTTTCATGCATGATGTAATCGTGTGACCTGCTGATTGATTAAGAAAAAAAATTGCATTTGATCAACTACACTGCATAATTATTTTCTCACACATATAACTCAAAAAAATTCTTAACCTTCAACTCATAATGACTTCTCACGAATTCAACCACTTAAAAGATTTTTTACGAAACGAACCGCTTGATAAAATTGCAATTTCTAGAGTCTTCCATGAGCTATGGAAACATAGTGATATACAATCAGAAGATAATGATTGCGACAGCCTTTTGAGGATTTTAGAAGAGTTGGAAATGGAAAATCTTGATAATGGTAGAAAGCAATGCCTCATATCATTACAAGATATTAATAAGTTATAGTACATACCATTCACCAATATTATTTTTCGATAGATATGATGATAAAAAAAATTGAGCTACTTGTCAGACCATATTACTTATGCAAAGAAGTTACGTAAGCGATGGCGACTGGCTACAAACCATTTGCGAGAAGTACCAGCTTTGTAAAAAGAAGTTACGTAAGCGATGGCGACTGGCCATAAACCATTTGCGAGAAGTACCAGCTTTGTGTTATGTAAATGATGATTTATGAAATAAGAAAATATTTTAGTGATGGTACCATAATAGCATGCTTCCTGAATGAAAAATCTCTGATCTGCACAATTTGTAATAGACTATAGATTTTTATTTTCTGGTATTTAGTAACGTACTATAAATATTATTCTTTCAGATGCGATGTATATGGAAAGAATTAAAATTTTTAGTAGACGATGACTTAATTCGGTAAATGTTTTCTAGAATGAAATACACAGAAGAAAAATGAATCTAACGATTCTTTCTGTAAAGATTTGAGACCGATGAGCCTCCGAATTGGAAACTACATGCTGTATCTAACATCAATAGATTAAAAGGAAACTTACAGGTATTTAGATGCATATTTATTAATTTTACTGGGAACTGAATATAAAAGATCGCATTACTAATTCCAAATTATCAGGATGCAAACACATTGGAACATAGACGCCTTCTTGAAAAGATACGAGTAGTAGATATTAATGATTTAACCTATGATAACCCATTAGCTAATGGTATAGTTGACCTTGGATCCCCTCAATACCAGATAATAGAAGATGACTATGAAGTTCTTGTAGTGAGTAACTTATTTTTATTTGCACAAAAAATTATGCCGATCATTCTCAATAACATACGTGTTCGGGAATTATTAACACAGGGTGAGAAAAGCGGAATAAAAAATTTGATAAAGGATCCTTTGGTAAAGGGGGCGTGTGTGGACTTTATTACTAAAAGAGACAAAATTCGGGACAAAATTCGGAACCAGTACAAGTTCATTATTTCGCCATCGAAAGTATTAAGCCATGGTCGCTGGGTGGAGAGGGGAGTAGATAGAGTGCAAGTAGCGGTAAACATCACAGATATTCTTTTGCAAGAAATAAAAAGAAATGTTCTTCGTCGAGTTTCCGGCGGTTCGGAGAATGTGCTTGTTGATGCTATTACACGCCTTATGGAGGCATCGTTATATCAAGTGCCAATTGAATTTGATATTGAGGTGACAAGAAATGAGTGCCAAAGCATGGCAAGTAAGAAACGGAAGACAAAACAAGTTATTGGATCAAGGGGGAATAAACCAGACTTAATGGTCCGGGTATTTTTCAAACGAAGATGGAACGAGCTTGCGTATTTAGAAAGTGGAAAATGGAGGCAGAAATAAAATCCCATAATGATCATAACAAGTTGGCTCGTTTTTGCGTAGATGGATATGTTGATATGTCAAAAAAAATTAATAAGAATGAACTGAATAAATTTGTATTACGTTCGGTATTAATATTACAGGTAAAACGTACTGTTATTTTGCAATGTAGATATATAATAACCTATTTTCTAATAATTTTTATAATAATTAGATGAGCATTTTATTGTTATAAATGGATTTTTGCGAGAAAATGGTATAAAGTTTTATCTCCCTATCGCCAAAGCTAAGATTCCTTTTCATAATGCGTCATTAGAAGAAGTCGAAGATTTTGTACATGCATTACTAGTTCTGCGAGTAAGAATTTTGAAATTTAAAAATTAGTCTTTCAACATTAGACACTACTTCTAAGTTTAATGTATATTTAGAACGGAATAATGGTGAATATTCACGGAATAAGCCGTACTTTCTTAAAGAAGTCCAACTCTACACAACAAAACGAGGATTCTTCAGAAGAAGATTCTATCATTAAAACCCCATAAAGGATACACTATTTTGCTTATCACAGGATCTTTTCGCATATGAGCGTTTTTTTTTTTCGTAATCATGTAACAAAAAAATCAGATCATTTAATCAGCGCATATTAACTTTAATAAATGTTATATAATACAATAAATCTGGATTTTGTATAAATTAGGTCTAAAAGCAGAAACTTTATTTAATGCATTTTTTTTCTGATATATTGTTATTGCTAACACCTAATTTGAATTAATTTACGATCATGTAAAACGTTAATGGGCTACGCCCTATCCTGTATTATTATCACATATTTTATCAATAAAGATTTTTGCGTACAACGTATCATGTGTTATTTTTCGCGTAATTCCGATGTATATGTGTATATATTAAAAACTGTTTCCTAAGGAAACGATCAAATCATGTGAATTCGAACTTTTAAACATATCCGTATCTTGTATAAAACAATGGCAGATGCACAATCCAAAGTCGATACATTAGAAGAACAGAATTCCAAACTTATAGCTGAGATTGCCGAGCTTAGAAAGGAGAATGCGAGGCTGAATCAGATTATCGAGGAGAATGAAAAGCGTGATGTTAGAGTTGAGGAATTAGAGCAAAAGAATATAGAGCTTGAGACTAGGCTCGCTATATTAGAACAGGGAAAAGAAGAAAAAAGTATTTCTATTGCAGAGCAAGCCGTTAGGCGATCCTCCGAATCATGGCTCTTCGAGCCTACGGAAGATGTTTCGCACTCTCCAATAAAATCTAACGATACTCTCAAACAGATAGTGCTACAATGTGGTGATACCCCGGTATCTGATATAACTGATGACACCTCTGAACAGGCGGTCTTGCAAAATAAGGATGCTCCGGCATCTGATGTATCCAATAATGTTTCAAATTCTGACGAATATCAGTCTCAAGTCTCTGATTCATCTTTGACTATACCACCTATATGTGTAAAGTCTAAATCATCTGAAGGTAAAAGGATTGATAATTTTCTGAATGAAAAACATAATGAACAGATTTGTAACGAAATAAGAGAAAGGAATCGGGAAAAGAAGCTATTACAGAATAATGAAACTTCCGCTTCTCAAGCCCAAAACTCATATTCGGATAGCTCGCCAAAATCTCATGATGTATTACACGTCAAACAAATTTCGGAATCGCAATCTATTCCTAACACTCCTAATTTACCTGAAGAATCCTCAGAACAAAATACAGACTTACAGAAAACAAAAATCCCTGAAATAGACGTACAGCCTTTGATAGAAGAATTAAGAATAGAACCTTTAATGGAAGATACCGTTAAAGTTGTTAATGTTGATAAAAATTCTACAGATAAGCAATCACTTGCAATCGAATTGGTCCATCTATTTGAAAAAATAAGCTTGGCAGAGAATAATACTAAACGAGCCAAGGTGGAAGAAATTACGAGCTGGTACCAATATAGAAAGCATTTCGAAAAAAGACTTGATGATATTTTACCCGAAAACCAAAGAAATGATAAGAGAGCCTATGATTTAGCAAGTGGGCAGATTTATGATGAAATGCTACAGTATCTTTCAGGTATTTCTCGTGTAAGTTTGCGTAAAAGAACTCAAAGAACTAAACCTATATACAAATAATTTAGCGTAATTGGAGATGATAAAATTAAGCGAATTAAAACTTATAGTGCAAATAAACTCTCAAAGTTAACTGATGTGCAAATCGATACAATTAAGAAGCATTTCATTGCTATACCGCGTGACCAAAAGTCACACACTCATATGACTGAGGTAAGTATTTCACCTAATAATATATTGCCAGAAAATAAGATTCATGACCATGCTTACTTTCGTAATAAGACATTGTTGCGATATTCTGATCTATATATATGTGAAATTGAAATATTATGGAGTAGGGTGGAAATTTTGATTGGCTAATTTGAATCTCACACATGTAAATTTGAATTTCACATATGTGAATTGCGAATTCATTTTCACGTACAACAGAATTATTAAAAAGTCAAAATGATTCAATGTCAGTTTTTTATAGTTCTGTTGTACGTGAAAATGAAATTATGTGAATTTGCAATTCACATATGTGAAATTCAAATTTACATGCGTGAAATTCAAATTAGCCAATCAGAATTTCACCCCACTCCATAATATTTCAATTTCACATAATTTCAATTTCACATACAACAGTTTTTTTCTAAAGAAATTATTAAAAAATTAAATTAATAGTAATAGTATTATTAAAATCATCCATTCCGGCCTGCCTTGACAAAAAACTTATAATCAACCACAGACCACTCTAACATTTCAAGTGTGACAAGCATGCTGAGAAACCTCCTCAATAGAAATTTCTTCATAGTTTTCGAGCTATTAACTTCAATTTCAAGTTATTACTTCTGTCATCAACTTGAGTTTTATTATCATCATAATCAGAAATTATTGATCCATATCCTTATTTATATCTGGACTCAAAGATTGTTTGTGTCAATAGAGCTTTTTTCCAGCTTTGTAGCAAATATAATGAATAAAGTTATACTTGCCGCCCAAAGTATAGTCCAACCCTCAGAAATATACTAATACCGTGAACATTGAAACTAGTACAAATTTAGTGATTGTCACCGAATTCATGGGATTTTGGATTTGGACGTCAAGTATAAGTGCAGTACACCAGAAAAGCTTCTCAAAATAACAATTTCAGCGTGCAAACATGTAATGGTAACTGATGGTATGATATCCCCCTAGAGTTTCCTGAAGCCTAAACAATCATTTATCAAGTCATTCCTGCCGCAAGTTGACAGTAATTGATGATATGCTATCCTATTTCATCATTATTATTATGAAAAATGCTTTAATATATGTACTTGAAAACTCACCAAAATCCAATATCTACTCTATAACTGAATTTTTCATCAAAGATTTCTTGCATGATTACTTTACGATAATTAAAAAAATCTAATAGTGACGGATTATCAATCTGGTACCAGTATTCTAAAAAGAATCAGATGGAAACTCAATGATCAGTTGTTTCTCGAAGCAAAGTAGATAACATTTACATAGTTTTCATAAACAAAATGTAAGTATATACGAAGCTTAGAATGTGATTTGTAACCGAATCACACAAAAAAAATTCAAATACAGTTGTTACATTTGGAGATGGGAGTTTTCCAAGTCTCCTATCAAACAACCATTTATGAAATTAAAAAAAGGTATCGTGTATGGCTAGTAACTGAGCTCTGTACCAGCCATATTTGTTCATTATATTGAGAGAGAAAATTTGATACAAGACAACGATTCTGGTCTGTCCGAATTTGTAAAAACGACAAATGACAAGTAAGGATAATTAACAATAGATACATTAAATTTTTATTGGTAAGCTAAATATTTATAGATGCATCGGAATTGTGACATCATTGCCTCTAAGACAAATTTTTTTGCATATTAAAAGATACTGGTGCCACCATTTAAAAAAAAGGAACTAAATTTTCAAGTTGTTTTACAACTATAACGATCAAGCTAGGCTCAATTCTTCGGGGCAACTTATTATAAGCTACTATCTATAATTTTCAGGATCCTTTGGGATGAATTAAAATAAAATTTCCAAATCCCAATAGTCATCTGTTAATATTAACTCGAATCCAGTTTTTAGAAAGTTGTCCTTTCTATTGATCATTTGAACAAAAAGTAATTTCAAAATCGTAATTAAATTAAGATTTATTAATTAATATATTTGTATATGTATGTATGTATATATATATATAAAATAATATTTTACATATTGTTAATAAATAAGTGATAACTAAATTAATATCCCCTCTAAAATTTAATATATGTTTATTTATTTTTTACATTGCATAATAATATTCATTTCCATCTTGAGTTTGATTATTACTTTCCTCCCATTGCCGCCTCTGCTGCTGCTGCTGCTGCTGCTGCTGCTGCTGCTGCTGCTGCTGTTGTTGTTGTTGTTGTTGCTGCCGCTGCTGCTGTTGTTGTTGCCGCTGCTGTAATTGTAGCTGCTGCTGCTGTCGCTGTTGTTGCTGGTTATAATGATGACAATGATAAGGTTCTTCTCCACTTCCATTTCTATTTAAGTTAACTGAAGATGCTGTGTTAACTGCTGCATCTTCATTGATTTTACTAGTGCCGCTTTTCCCTGTATAAGTGGTGTTTTGAACTTCAAATTGATTTTTCATTGACGATAAATTATTCTTTGGCATGGTTGAAGAATTGAACTCATCTCGTTGTCTTTGTAAAACCAACATGCGTTCCTGTTGTGTAGATTTTCTTGGTTCCGGCTCTTCATTATCACTGGATTTTTTAATAACTCGATTTTCATCACCAGATGATGATGATCCAATATAATTACCATTATTAACAACATTATTATTAGGCAATGGATATTCGTTGTCATCATTATTAACTGGATTGTCATTCATAAAATAATATGAGGGAATACTTCTTGGATCAGCTTTCTCCACTGCTACAAATTCTAATCCACCCACTTTACCTAATGGTTTAGTTTCGGTGTAAATAACTTTACCATCTTTTGATATTGACACATTACGTTTTAATGATGAAGATGGTTGCTTATTGTTATTGATGGTGGTGGCGGTGGTAGCGATGGCGGAGGAGGAGGAGGAGGTAATATTGTTGTTTTGTGATATTGGTATTGTTGATTGTATTTGATTATAATTACGTTGATTTTGTAGCGTTTGTTGTTGTTGTGGTTGCTTTTTTAATTGTTGTAGTTGTTGTTGTTGACCTTGGTGATCAAAATTTCCATATCCAGGACTGTTATTGTAATTGCGATTTAAATTTTTATTGCCAAGATTATTATATTCATTATTATTATTATTATTAATATTATTATTATTATTAATATTATTATTAATATTATTATTATTATTATTATTATTATTATTATTACTATTATTATTATTATTATTATTATTATTATTATTAAAGGTTGGAGAGAGAGGATATCCAGCCCCACTACCAGGTGGCATATTAGATAATTTAGCAGAATTAGTGGCCGCAGAACCTAAATTTGTGTTGAATGAACTACCTCCTGAACCAGTACCAACAAACCCTTTACGTGGATAAAATATTAATATTAATATTACCCATTCTATTACTGCTGCAAAATTTACATGTGCTATTAAAACATCACTAAATAATAGTAATAAAATTATTATCAATATTTACAATAACAACAAATTAATAAATATATAATGGTAAACAATAATAACAATAATAATAATCACCTTGCTAATTTGCTAGAATTAATGGGTCTAGAATCAATAAAAGTATCAATTGTTAATATGAAAAAACTAGCACTCATTATGAATAAACTTCCAGTCAATAATTTATTCATATCGATGAAATATCTGATTTTTGCAATGATATGAGCTTTATTTTTGTTGTTTATATTAACTGTGTTAATTAATTTTTGAAACCTCGAATGTGTAATTATTCCAAGTATAGCTAAAATCATTAACTGTGAAGCATAAGCCAATTGTGGAACAACCTCTATTAGTGATTCATACTCACTTAATATAGCTGGCAATATAGGAAACATGATTACTGAGATAACTCCCCAAATTACATAAATACTGAATTCAATTCTTGACATAAATGAAACCTTTGCAATTGAATTCGAAAGATAATTCCAGAAACATTGTAAAAGAAATAATGTTCCACTAAAAATATAAATTAAATACATGTGTTAATATTGGATTATTTATGTTATTAAATAATGTAAAAACATACGTTTGGAAGCTAAATCCAACCATCAATGTATAGAAAGTAGGAGTCCACCATGATTGATCTTCTTCTGACCATAACCATCTTGGTTTAGACCTTATTGAGTAGGTCGGAACAAATAAATAAAATCCTTCGGTATATTTTATTTTGGTCTAACAATTCCATTTTAATAAATAAATGTTAACATTACGAAATATAATATAAGATGATTATTTATAAATAAATTATATTCACCAAAATAATGTCATAAAATGCTTCAAATGGTAATGTTAGCAATATTAAAATTGTGACAAATGATTTTAATTCTAGTGCTCTTATTCTCTTCCATTGAAGGGATGAAAATTTATCACACTATATGATTAAAGTTTAGTTGTTAGATAAAAAATAAAAAATAAATTTGAAATCAATAAAATATTTTAAAATTACCCGATAAACATGGATTATAAACCATATCCATATGTAGACTTCATGTACAGATCTTTCTGCAATTTTTCAAAACAGTAATTAAAATTACTATTAGCATTAAAAAATATCCATTATGATTGCTCAGTTATGTATGTAACGAGAAAATAAAAAAAATTTACCAAGGAAAGAGTAATCGCTTGAAGCCATCATTTTATGTTCTTTAGAAGTATCCATATTTACAAATATTTTAATTCAAAGAACATCCAGATGTTTTTATTACTTTCTAATTCAAATATTATGTATTTATGTATGTATGTATGTATATCTGAAAGGTTTAATATATATAAAAAAAAAAATAATAGTAATATTCTTGCTGGCCAAAACAAAATTTATTTTGGAAAATTCATAATAACCTAATTTATATAAAATTTCGGATTTTTTCTTGATGGACAAAATAGTTCAAAAATTCATTTTATTGTACGTTGTATAAAATCTAATGCTAAATCTGTAAAATTGCATTCGAATTTTACACCTATAGCCGATTTTGTAATTATTAACAGTTTCACACCATGTACATATATGGTTAATTCGTGTAATAATCCGCTTTTTTATAACAATAAATTCATTATCAAACCATTTAAGCTTTACAATGAATATTTTTTTTTTAGTCCACTAAGTATTCAAAACAGCATTACATCATAAAATTATTATGGGGGGTTATGTGTTGAAGTTCAGTTGACTGTATTATTTCCAAAAATATAATCAAATGAATTTTAGTAATTTGATAATAATAGTTTGATCTACGTGACATGTCACTAAATATAGTGAAACCAGTCCTATTGGCCAAATTTTCCTGCATTTCATTATTATTTACCTTAATATTAATAATAATAGTATTGGTATAATATCACTCCAACGATCTTCACTCTATAACGAACTGAGAATTAAAGCCGCTATTTAAAAATCTTACTCTGTAATATTAATATTAATATTAATTTATCCCCCCCACTTCATTGGGGATAACGGCCGGCGATCATATATCACATGATTTTAAACCCTTTTCACAAATTTGAAAAACTTGCGACAAAGATAAAAAAAAACTTATTATTATTATTATTGATAATAGGAAAAAAAATCTCGATTTGCATTAAGTGAGAGGTTATCATTACTATTTTTAGTAAGGTATATGGTTTAATTAAATTATTATTTGTATCTGTAACCATCGAAGAAACTTATATTGTAAACAATACATTTATATTTCATTATCTCATTTTTATATCATCAACTATATCATTCATTAATAAAAAGAAAAATTGATTTTGATTCACATCAACAATCAACATTAGATAGCTTTATTAATATTGAATAAGTGTATTGAACGAGTAAATGTATTAGAATTAGCGAATAATAATAATCATGGCTTTATTTTAAGTAAATTTTCATTATATAATAATAACATTATAACGGTCTCTCTATAACGGACTTTTTTTTTGCTGAAACGGAAGGACCCGTTAGAGAGTGAATTGTACACCAAGTGACACAAGAGGACGTGAAGAATTTCAACGAGATATTCCTTGACTTTTAAATAATCGTTTGTTAGAATAAATACCATTTTGGTAAGCTAATAATGGTTGATGGTTTGACTCGAGGAAATGTGGGAATTTTCGGGTAGCGGGTCAAAAATATCGGTGAATGCTCGAAGTTTCTGGAAAAAAGAATTTACGTTTTCTTAACAATTTTGGCTTTAGGTCTTCTTTTAAAAAAAAGTCATTCAATAAAGAAAGGAATAATGATGTTCCAAGCATCTACTCTGTGTAAAATTTATCGTAGCTACGTGTCGATGATGATATTGCACAGAAGAAATTTCTACTCGCTTCCAATCAAGAAACTGATAATAAAATACATTTAGTAGATATAAAACAGTTTTTATCAGTTGTATTTCCTTTGTAATGTTCTCCCGTAATAGCGAATATACACTCAGAGATTTGGAAAGAGAAATATGTGTTATCGAACTGACTTATTCACTCGATTATCTTTGAACCAAGATTATTTGCGAGGAGCAAATTGATTTTAAACACCTTCCTGAGAGGAAAAGGGAAGTATTAGAATAATAGTTATTATTATAATTCAAAGAATGGGAACTTTTGGCCTCCACTGCGCTATCTATGAGCGACTAGAGCTGCAGGCATAATTTTAAGTTTAAAGAGCCGATTTATATTTGATGCTTTCTTTATGGGTGGATATAGTCAGTATATACCTATAAAAAGTTTTCTATTAAATTTATTTGCTAGCGATATAAAATAAAACATCACATGATAATTAGATAATACCAAAATATCGATATTGATTGTGTTGTGCAACAGTTGAATTTTGTAAATATTCATTTTATCAAATTTTAAAACTTATTTCAAAAATGCCAGCACAACCACAAACACAAGTTCCAAACACCATGGATGATGTATTAAAATATATCTCAACTGTTACTGCAGAACATGATAATTTCGAAACTATTAGCAAAAGAATTGCTCCAACCTTAAAAGAAGTTCAACCACAAGTTTTTGCACAATCTACTTCAGACGATAGAGATCCTCTTGATCTTTTGGATCCTAGTACTTCCAGTTTAGTTTACGCATATCTTCTGTAAGTTGACAAAAAAATTAGACTGTTTATAATAAATTTATAATTAAATAAATTTATAAATTATTTTATTTTTTAAAAAATTGAATTTATTAGAGCTGCACGATTTCATGTTGAAAGTTCAAATTCCACACGTTTAATACAATATATTATTCAATACTTGTCCGTATTTGATGCTAATCAAGTTCGATTGGTACCAGATAAATGTACACATCTTCATAACTAGATAACTATCTGTCAATTTCATCATCTTCATCATCTTCATCAATTAATTATACATTATCATAGTTCGCCAGGTTATACAAGGACTTACTAGATTAGCAGCGACGCGCCAAAAAGTAAGGAGTTAACAATAATAATAATAATAATAATAATATAATCTATAATAATATTATTATAACATCAAAAATGAATGAGCGAATGAATGAATTGTTTTAGATCTATTGATTATTATTATTTGCGTAAATCAAAATACTTTTTAAGAATCTCATAACCATTAAACCTATTGCGAATGCACTTTTAAGATATGCTCCGAGTCCCCAACATTTGACAAACGTTCATCAAATTTTTATCAAGGTATCAATGAGATTAAAGCTTTTTTTTATATCCTAAATTTTATTAATTAATTAAATGGTATTAATTGATTAAATTGTATTAATCATGATTACAATATGAAGGAATGTCTGCTTTCTAAATGTTATAAGCAAGCTCTTCAAATTTTAGATACTGATATTACAGAAATAGAATTAGTGGTAAAGTTGATTTTTTCAATTTTATGTTTTATTTGAATTTTATTTTTATTTTATATTTGCTAATAATATTTAATTAGGGAACTGGTATAACTTATCAAGACCATTTGCTTTATCATTATTATGGTGCAATGGTGTATATAGGTTTAAAGAAATATGAACGTGCTTATTATTTCTTAAAATTGGTAATTATATCCAATTTTTTTGAAAACAAAAAATTTATATACGAAAGAATTAAATTAATCAATGAATTATTATAGGTAATTTCTGCACCTGCAAATATAGCCAGTCAAATTCAACTAGAAGCTTATAAAAAATTTGTTTTGATTTCACTATTGTTGCGTGGAAGAGTAAGATTTTTATTTAAATATACTTACTTCTAAAGGATATATATTATTATAATAATCACACCTATTAATGATTAACCAAATATTATTTAAAGATTGGACCACTTCCAAAATATACAGCCTCAATAGTTTTTCGTTCAATTAAAAATCAATGTCAACCATATCAAGATTACGCATCAGCATTTGAATCTTTAAGTGTGAAAAGATTACGTAATGAATTCAATCAGTCCATAGACATTTTCAAAAAAGTAATTTTTTTTCAAAAAAAAAAAAATATACAACTATTAAGAAATTTTTTAAATAAATAAATATAAATATATATATATATATTTTAAAAAAATATTTATTTAGGATAATAATTTGGGATTAGCCAAACAAACATTAGACGCAATTTATAAACGAAATATCCAACAATTAACGCAAACATATTTAACATTGTCTTTGGCTGACATTGCTGATACTGTTGGTTTGGAAGGCCCAGATGCACATAAAATTGCTGAGAGTTATGTTTTACAAATGGTGAGTTGAGCTATTTTATTTTCATATATAAATAATTCATTCATATGATATTTTTTTTATTTATATTTACTTATTTTTTAATTAGATTGAATCTCAACAAATATTTGCAACTATTAGTCATTCTGATCAAAATGGTATGGTGTCATTCCATGATAATCCAGATCGTTACAATACTACAAATACAATCATTAAACTTGAAGAAGAAATCGCTAAAGCTACTAGCGTTAATGAACATGTCATTAGAACAGATAAATATGTTGGTCGTACCAAGGAATATCTCTCAAAGGTCAGATGTCGTTAGTAATAATCATAATAATAAGGTTGTATTATTACTATTATTAATATTTATTTAATTTTTGCAGAGTCAAAATTTACTTGCAAGTGGTATAATTCCTGGTGGATTGGGTCCTGGTGATGATCCGGAATTTTTGATTGGAGGTGGATTCGATAATTTTATTGATGATGGAAAGTACATGTGATAAAAAAATCATTATACAGCTATAAATAAAGATTTTAAAATATACATGTAGTTAACATTTAAAATAATGCAATAAAATCGGTGTGATCAAAAATGCCAATCTAATAATATCTACGAATTTAATCGCGTTTTATATAAAAATATGCACCCTCAAAAATTTTTTGATTTTACTTGTAATAATAATAATAATAATAATAAAAAAGAAAAACTTCAATTTTTTAATACACACTAACTTTCTTGTGCTTGATTAAATATAAATGGTTTGGAGAGTTTTCTTGCATGATCCATGTGATCGTGATGTTTTTTAATTAACCGTTGGTTATCTTTCTTAAATATTTTATTTCACGATCCTTACATGATCCATGCGATCTTGATGTTTTATGTTGTGAATAAATAAACAAGCAAAATTAAAATTAGTGTGAAAAAATTAATTTTAATTTATACTATAATAATAATGTGTACATACAGTTACTGGAAAAAAGTATCACTTCACCTGATGATCGGTGAAAATAATTGAATAACTCCTGTGATATAAAAAGTCATTATTTTACTAACCAAGTCGATGTTGTGTAATAACAAAAAAATCTTTTTCATAATGAATTCTATAACATACTCAAGTTCCACAAGATTCAATTAATTATTGGTAATTTTATAATCTTTAAAAGACAAAAAAAAAATTTCCGGAAATTTTCCAAAAAACTTTAGATTAGAGCCAACTTTAGATGTCATGTTTTAACACATTTTGGGAGCTTAGTAAATGTTGTTTCTTTTATCTTCAAAGGGATACTTATAAAACCTCGCAATTAATTGTCAAATATTGGTCAAGTATCGAACTGAAACGTAAAAATAATTTTTAAAAAGTTTACTAGCTATTTGCACAATATTTTACATACTGTGTTACAAAAATAATTGGCCAAAAAGCCATGTGATTTAAAACGTGATAACTTTTTGCGTAAACAATAATATCACATTGCATTTTACACATACGTTTGTTATTGTTTTTTCTTACTTGTAATACAGTTTTTAAAAAATTTTATTATCATATTATCACAAATAAAGCTGTAACCATGACATCATCAGATCTAGAATCACAACATCAGACTATATTACATTTTTGGAAGAAGGGTGTCCATAAATCCCAAGAAATTCATAAATTAACAAGCATTCCACTAT